GGAGTTAGCCAGGTGAATGATGGCCAAAATGAGAACATTCTGTGTTGGATATGGTGGCACATGTCTGTAATCCCAGCAGCTTGGGAGGCTGAGGCAGGAAGATTGCAAGTCTGAGGCCAGCTTTGCAATTTAGCAAGACCCTCAGCAATTTAATGGGACCTTGACTCAAAACAGAATTTTAGAAGGACTGGGGATATAGTTTAACGGTAGAGTGGTAAGCCCAAGATAGGAGGCAAGAAAGGACATTGTTGCTTTTGGGGACCTAATAACATCCTCATGATTCTGTTATCATGCTCACTCTAGATGAAGAAATGAAACACAAGGATTGAATAGCTTGCCCACTTTCCCAGCTGGCTTGACCTGTAATTCAGGTCAATTTTACATTAAGAAGTTGTTCTTGCCACTGATCCATCCTGCCTCTAATACTGGATGGCTCCCCAGTGTTATTACACTAAACTGCAGAGAGATTGTGAAGAATTAGAAGAGAGCTAAGGGTTGAAGCTAAGGAATGCCTACATTTAAGGAGGAGGAGGAAGAAAAATAGCAAATGAAGGCCAAAGAGGAACAATTCAAAGAGGAGAACTACCCAGACAGCACAGTAAAAGGGAAGCCAGAGAGTTGTAAGAGGAGTCCTTCAGCATTTCAAATATGGAGACAGGGGAAGAGTTGGCTCTCACTGTCCATAGTTAGAGATGATCACAGTTTAGTCAATGAGAAAGTAATTTCCAGAATGCACCACAAAAAGTAGAGAAGTAAATGGGTGGTGAGGAGATAGAGCGAGTGCAGATCACTTTCTAGCAACTTTGATTTCAGGTTATCTCAAGTAAGAAGGGAAGCTAATGCTGAGACAGGCAGGAAGTTTATTGGGAAGTGATCTTGGGATCAACACTGAGTGCAGGGAAGGAAGCAAGACTAGGCAGGGGAAGTTGAGCCATGATGCACAACAAAGGCTCAGCCAACCTTCAGAGGGATCTCTGAAGGTTGAGGGATGTTTGAGGGATGAATCTTACCCTCCCACATACATCAGTCACTGGATGAGGGCTGCCTGGGAATGGAGCCCAGGGCCATGGGCCAGCAGCACTCCTACTCCAAACAGCTGGGGTAAACAGGTCCTGCATCCTCAGAGGGGACCTGGGCAGTGCATTCCATTGTTTATCTCAGGAATTGCTTAACTTCCCCAGAGTCAGAGAGGAATATGTTTGGCAAAGATAAGATACAACTTTGGGAAAAAGTACCTAGATAGAAATGTCCTAATTATCACACTTTATTGCCTTACAGTCCTAACATGCAAAAAAAAAAAAAATGAGATAATACATTTTGGGGGACACCACCAGATACCTGGATTGGTAACACCAAGTATACAAATAAAAAGATATTCTCCTCTAATGAGAAATTCACTATTAAGTGGTAAAAGAAAGCATAAAAAACAATAGATCTATGCTTATCTTATTTGTGTTTGTATCTGCAGCCCCTAGCCTGTGCTGGATACACAGTAGGTTCTCAGTAAATATATACAGAATGGGTTTGTGCTTGGGCAGCAGACAGAATGTAGGATGAATTAATGTTGCCTGGAGGAGTAAGGGAATGATGACTCTGGTGGGTACTTTAAGGGAATCTTATAGAATGTTTGGGAGTTTTCCAGGAGAAGAGTGGGAGGAGTTAATTTATGGCAGTTGTTTGAGAGAAAACAATACCTGAAAGAGAATACTTGGAGAGTGGATGGGAAGAGAGGATGGAAGGAATAGCCTCTTATTTAAATACAAGATACCTATGATGAAGATACACGTTAATACCTGATACTCATACCTATTAACAGCTGTGCAGATATGAGTTGCTATAGGTGTCATGTGGCATATTTAGTGAATTTACATTTACATTAATATGATTTTTACTAAAGAGCTAGATTTGCATGAAAGGGAATTGTTTTAACTGCACAAGATGGAGGTGGGCCCATGTGTTAGTGGAGTGCTAGCTGCTAGATTTGCTGGCTTTGTTTGGGCTACAAGTTATGTGTCTTTAGGAAAATTAATTACATAACCCCCCCATGCCTCTGTTTCATTTGCAAAATGAATATAATAGTTCCTTTCTCATGAGTTTATTGTGAGGATTATGACTATTTCTGAAGTGTTAAATACAGTGTTTATATATAAAAAGAAGTCAGTTAATACTGTCAGTAACTGAGTATGGGGGATGAAACGAACAGAGCAAGAGTAGAGTATATATTACAACCGTGGGGCTATGATAGAGTCTCATTGTAAAATCCATTCTTATTTTTGAAATTATTATTATTTTTTATGTGTGTGTGGTGTTAGGAATTGAACCCAGCGCTTTGCACATGCTAGACAAGCACTATATCACCAAAGTACATCTCCAGTCCCATTCCTACTTTTACAATTTATAAACTGAAGAGGGGCAAATTGTCCCTAGTCCAATCTTCAGGGGCCCCTTGCCTTAGGGAACTTGTCTGATAAGGAACAAGAACAGGAGAGGGATCAAGTTGTAATGATAAAACTTTCAGTGCTTGAGGAAGCCCCCAGGCAAAGAGACTGTCATCTGGAGTCCTGAGCAAAAGATCCATAGTTCCTTCTACTGACATGATAGGAAGCAGAACAACTTGCTGGAAACCTACCTTGACTAATTTGAATTGATTACTGCTTTAATTTCTTTTTCATTCTAAGGCATTATTATTATTAGTAGTAGTATTATTATTGTTTTTTGTATTAAGCAGATTTTCTTTAAAACTATTAGAACACTCCTGGAACTTATAAGCAGCAATTCACCTCACTTTAATACTTCTCACTTCCTGCATTGTCCTCTAAGTAATTTCCCTGAGGCATGTTTTCCCCATTCTTTCTGCGCCCCTCCTCCCAGATTGAGAAATTCTTTTGTTAACCTGGATTTCTTTTTTGTAGTCTCAGTGTTTTCCCTTTCTTTTTCTTTTCCTACCTACTCCTAGGTTTGCCTCTCTTTGTTTTCTGCCCCTAGATCATTGATTTAGCAGGCTGATGCCATCAGCTTCTTCAAATCTCAAAGGACAGACCGGTGGCCTTTTCATCTATACTTTGAGACTATTCATAATTGCATTAGTACTGCACGTACTATGTTGAAAATACATGTGGACTCTCAGGCTTTTGGGTTAATTGGCCAGAGGAACACAGTGCTAGTGCACAAGCAGCCATGGTACAAGTACCTTGACCAGCTTCACTTCAAGGAGAGCCGCATCCTGAAGGAAAGTGTTTCCGCTCTCCCTACCCCTTTCATATACTTGCACCCATAGGCCTGCCTCCAGCACTTGGTCCAGCCCAATGGCACAGAAACTAACTCTTAGAAGGAAAGTTTTTAACTCAATTAATTGTTAGTTAATATCTAGGAGTGGCAGATATACAATGCTTCTCTTTTCATGGCAGGTCAAAGATGAAATTAGATTATTCTTTGTAGGGTGTGGTTTGTCTCTTGAAATTCCCTGCCAGTCTTTACCAATGCTGCATTGCCTAGAGCAGCCTCAAGTGTCCTTAGTATCGAAGGGAGGCGGGAGGCGCACTTGTGTGCATATATAGAAGCAGGGCCGCTCTGGGAAAAGCCAAACCAGTTCTGCACCATGGGGAAGCAGCAGCCTAAGGAGGCAGCTCCAGCCTGTGAGCTGAGTAAGTAGCCAGCAAGTCTGCAGCAGCCCAGGGAAGCTGCCCAGCTGAGCAGCCAGGGAAGGGTGACAAGAAAAGCTCCAGTCCTTTAATATTCTAGATGCAGCAGAGGTTCCCAAAGGAGAGATTCTGATCCGGAGGGAGTCTATCAGGCATTTCTCAAACTCCACAGATTCGCTGTGGAGAGATTCTCTGAACTAATTTGTGTATTTTCTCTTTTCTCCAGGAGAAATTCTGTATGGATACCAGCCTGTGCCCGGAAGTACATGATGTTTGGCACACTATTTTTTTTTCTTTGTTCCTGAGGTTTTCCATTTTGCACTTTTGAGTTTTTCTTTTTGCAGTTCACATCCCTTTCCTCATATGTTGAACTCTGACCAATAATTTAAGTTTTCTTCTAGCAGTTTTTACATGAAGAAAGAAGCTTGGTTATCTTTGATGCTGTAAACGGTAGGGCAGTTTAAGGATGTTTTTGCTAGCTCTGAAGACATTGTAGAAAATTAGGATGATCTGTCCGGCCAGGCCATTTATTCTCTCCTTTTCACCAGTTGGGGCAATCATCTTCAGTGAAAGACGCTGGGCTGTGAGGTTGAGAGGCTGGGGATAGAGTGGGATTACTTTGGAGTAGGTAAGGATAAAGTGTGGGGTGAAGCGAGGCAGAGATATATGGAATGCAGGAAAACCACGTTGAGGCTTGGGAGTAGGACACATAGAGTAGTGGAACTGGCTGCACTGGCCTAGTTTCATGGTTCCTCCCAGGTGTGCGGTGCTCTTCTTGGTGGAGCAGTTGATAAAAGGATACGGTTCTGGAAATGGTCCTGCCAGTGGGCTATACCTTGTTATAGACCTGGTAGAGTCAGGTCTCCGGAAGAAAGGGGCTTGTCAGTACCTAATGTGAGACGGTGGGGGAAATCGGACAGGAATTTTTTTGTTTTTGTTTTTGTGGTACTGGGGATTGATGCCAGGACTACCGGCTTGCTAGGCAAGCGCTCTACCACTGAGCTACCTTCCCAGCCCATTTTTATTATGAGACAGGGTCTCGCCAAGTTGTCGAAAACTGGAGATCCTCCTGCTTCAGCTTCTAGAGTCTCTGGGATTATAGGCATGCACCCCCGCGCCCGGAGAGGGCAGGAATTTTATCTGACCTCAGGCTTCCCTCGGGCTGAGAGATCACAAGTTCACCCCTCGACGTGAATCTGGGTAGCTGTCAGCAGTGGCTCCGCAGAACTCAGCTTCTACCAGGCAGCTTCAAGCCCGTCCCACCCCGGTTCCGCCCCTGACCCAGCCTCTCCCGCCACGCCCCCAGCCCCGGCTTGGTGTGGGCGGAGCCTCTGTTCTTGCTCCTCTTGCCACGCGCACTGGCAGCCCCCGAAATCCGGCCAATGGGAATATGCAGCTGCAGTCCTATCGGCCAATCGCAGGAGGGCAGGGGGTTGGCCTTCTTGGCGGTGGCTCCCGGGATATGGAGCCGCCGGTGCTGGGGCGGCGTGTCAGGTGGTGGAAGAACGGGTAAGGCTAGGGGTAGGCAAGGTCAGGGGTCACGGCGCCCGGCTATCCGCAGGCGGGGAGGGGGGTGTGACGCCTCGAGGGCCAGCTGGGGAAGGCCCAGGGGCCTTTGTGCGGGACCGCGAAGGGAGGTGCGGGAGGGAGGGCCTGAGGCGCTCGGCGCAGTGACCGAGGAGCGGATGGAACCGCTTTATTCGAAGGAAGACCGAGAAGGGGGCGGGCGGGGTGGGAAGCGGAGGGCTTGGGGCCCTCGACCCTTCCGCGCCGTGACCTAGGACAAATGGCCCAAACCTGGGCTGGACCTGACTGCGCACGGTGACCCATGGTGGAGGGTGCGCTGACCCGCTGTAACGCGCCGGAGAGGCCGATGTGCTCAGGGGAAGGTCTCCCGCCGCCGCCGCCGCCGCTGCCGCTGCCTGGTTCGCGGGGCACTGGGGCCCGGTCAGCTGTCTGGGGCTTCCGCTGCAGCAAAAACTCTTTTAACGAGTCCAGCTGGCACCCCTGGAACGCCTCCCCCGAGAAAGGCCTGTGCAGGCCGTTCGTGTTTGTGTGTAGCTTGGTTCTAGGACTCTTTGTAAGATGAAATTCTCTTATTATACATTGTTTTCGGAGGAGTATTGTGGGTGAAAGAATGTGATATCTGTTAGAAGTGGAAAGCAAAAGCACACATATGGAAGGAGGAAATGGGTTTCTATAAATTCGGCCGGTCATAATCTTAGTGAATGTTGGTGAAACCAGGGGAAGTTATGTTTACCTTGATTTCTGTGGCATCTGTAGCTTGGCCAGTTTGCTTCTGTTCATGACTGTGTAAACCTTTGCACAAATTGCTTAGCCTCCTTTTTGTTTCTTTCTTTTTGGTACCGGGGATTAAATCCAGGGGTGCTTAACCACTGAGTCACATCCCCAGACCTCTTTTAAACAAGTTTTAAATTTTTATACAGAGTCTCACTAAGTTGCTTAGGGCCTTGCTAAATTGCTGAGGTGGCCTCGAACTCCCAATCCTCCTGCCTCAGCCTCCTTAGTGGCTGGGATTACAAATGTGTGCCAGCATGCCCAGCTGTATTTTTGTTCTACATACTAAAAGTGGAAATTGATGATATCAATATCGGGTTGTTGATGAGAATGAAATTATTTAATACAGTGCTTGGAATAGAACTTTGCAGGTAGGAGGGTTTTTTTAATACTTATTTTTTAGTTATAGGTGGACACAATATCTTCATTTTATTTTTATGTGGTGCTGAAGATCGAACCCAGTGCCTCACGAATACTAGGTTAGCACTCTGCCTCTGAGCCACAACCCCAGCCCTGGGTAGAAGTTTTTGTTAGTAGTATTATCTATATATGTCCCCTTTACCCCTGCAGATTCTAAAGTAAAGAATTCTGATCTTATTTCTTATCCTTTACTCACAATACCTAGGTCTATTGCCGGTGAACCCACCCTTAGGCCTGTTCTTTCCATGCACATCATTAACCCTGATCTAAGTGTGCTGTGTAATTATGTTGTGTAATTATGTGACTAGAGGCTTTCTACTTGGTGTTTTATTAAACAGATTGGAAACTGTCATTGTACTTGATCATATTCCATTCTAACTATATTTTTTAATGAAATTTTTGAACTTCATTGACTGTCTGCCCCCCCATACCCCCATTGGATAATATTTCATTCACAGTCTTTGCTCAGATAGTTTATTTTGGACACAGTACCAGAAAGGCCATGATTGCAGCATACTTGGTTTCTCATGTTCCTGGAACAGCTTTGGGACTCAGAAGGGGAATTTCTGAGCAGCCTGGCAGCATTTCTTATTAAGGAATAGGGAAACTTGATCTATTCTTATAATACTGTTAGGTATTCAGCAGTATTATCTTATAGGTATAGAGCTACTAAGCGACATTGATTCACTTTTGTCTCAGTGAAGGTTAAAGAATGGTATCCACCAAGTAGTATCTTTTCTGTTTGATATTCAGCACTGAGTTTGGGTAGGCTATAGTTCTGTTTATAATTTAGCAAGATTTATTGAATAATTAACATTAATTGGCCCCTGGAGAAACAAAGAAGAATCCTTAATCCTTCAGGTATCCTGACTAAAATAAAACAATATGTACGTATTATAAAGCACATTATTATTATTAATTATATTATTATTAATGACACCAGAATGGAATATAAAGCAATTGACCAGGAATAACAAAAAAATATATATCGTCTAACTTCTTTTCTGTTTTTATTTTTTGATGGTAATTGGAAATAAATCCAGGGTACTCTACCACTGAGTTATATCCCAGGCCATTTTTTGAGACAGGGTCTCACTGAGTTGCCAAGACTGGTCTCAAACTTTCCATCCTCCTGCCTCAGCCTTCTGAGTAGCTGAGATTACCAGCATGGACCACAGGGCTGGCCTTTTCCACTTCTAATTTAAGGTCAGAATGCTTTACTTTTTTTAGTGTAAGGAACAATATTTTCAGTACAGCATAAATTAGGATATTAGGATTCTTGTTCGTATGCTTATTAGTGGTAGGTCCTGTTGTATGGGGTTCTTGTTTGTTGTGGTCTCATCTCTATTACTTGGGTATTTGTTAAAACCCCTTGGTAATGAAAGGAGAAGACTACAAGTTAACTATTAATATTTTATTAGGCTCAAAGAGCAGAAGGAAGCATGTACAAGGCTGGAGAATCTTGTAGTATGTGTTGTCATAAATTTATTTTCCTTTGCTTTAAGAAAAGAAAGGTTGGGCTGGCTACATAGCTTACTGGTAGAGTGCTTACCCGGCACACATAAGACCCTGGGTTCAGTCCCCAGCACTGCAAAACAGGCGCAGGGGAGAGGGGAAGGGAAAGAGATGAGAAAAGACAAGACATATTGAGGAGCTGGGCATAGTGGCGCATGTCTGTAATCCCCACGCCTGAAATCCCAGCTGCTTGGGAGGCTGAAGCAGGACATTCGTGAGTTCAAAGCCAGTCTCAGCAATTTAGTGAGGCCTTAAGCAACTCAGTGAGATCCTGTCTTTTAATAATACAAAAAAGGGCTGGAGATGTGGCTCAGTGCATTCCAGCACCTGTGGGTTCAATCCCTAGTGCTTAAAAAAAAAAAAAAGATGTTGAGGAAAATATGTACAATTTTTAGGGGTCAGCCAGGTGTAAATAGCACATGCCTGTAATCCCAGGACTCAGGTGACTGAGGCAGGAGGATCACAAGTTCAAGGCCAGCATCAGCATCTTAGACCCTGTATAAAAATTTAAAAAGAAAAAAATTTGTAAGGGTCAATCTGCATTTGAGCTAGTATTTGTCATAATATAAGTGGGTTGAATATAATTCAATGATAATCATTTTCCATATTTGCCATAGAAAGCTACTTAAGCAAGTATGAGGGCAAAACATTTTTTCCTGAGGCAAGAAGTAGGTATAGACTTTTTAATAAGGCGTTCTTTTTTGCTAGAGAGAGATGTTTTAAGTTGTTCACAGAGCTTGGAGTTGTGTTCCAGGATAGAGGTGTCAGGCCAGGAGTCCTGGTTGGTCCCCCAAAGGGAAACACAACTGCTGTACAGTTCTGGTTAGGAGGAAGTTGCAAGAAATTCACACTGGTAAAGAGTGGGAGGAACAAAACTAACTATAAGCCCTGAAGGTAAAATTTCAGATGAGAAGTCAGGGAGGTTTGGAAGCTGATTAAGCTTCAAGAAAACTGAGGGGAGAAAATGAAGAGTTCCATTTAGTGGGTACCACACCCATCAATTTTGAAGTCTCTGGTTGATGAATGATATTATGCCTAAGAGATCAGTACTTCTTGACAGCCTGGCCACATTTCCCTTTACTGTTATCGCTTGTGACACCCAGACAGCCAGCTTCATTATCAATTATACTTTTCCTCCCCATATCTGACTCCCTCTTTCTTCCTTTTAACATTTTCATTCTCTCATTTTTGTTTTCAATCTTTAGACATTTTTAAAGTCCGTTTTTTTTGTTTGTTTGTTTTTCAACCTCAAAATAGATTCAAAGTCTGACTCAGGTGAAGAACAGCAAACTTGGTGTTGAGTGGAAATTACAGTTCTCTGGTAGGCCAAGTAAGATATTTCCAGTTTTAAGATTGTTACTGTGGCTAGTATCTTAATGGCCACTGTGATACAGAGGAAGAAAAGGAGAGGGAGACAAAGACAGACACTGTCCTGATTCATGCAGCACTGTTTGTATTTTTTTGGACTGGGTGTATGATGTGTCTTTTGGTTGAAAACAGAGAAAAATTCTAATATTAGAGTGGATTAGTGTGTTGTATAAGGTCTTTTTCTTAAACACTTACCAGAAGGGCTTTTCACTCTGTTTATTTCGCCATGACTTTCATATAATTAGTCTCCAACCTCTCTTTTTTTCCCACATTATCATTTTATATCAAATTATTTGTGTATGTGTGGGGAATTGAACACAGGACCTCATGCATTCCAGCTAGGCAAATGCTCTACCACTGAGCTAAAACCCCAGTCCTCAAATTTATTTTAATAAGAGAAAAATAAGGTAAATCTACTCTAGTTTAAAAAAAAATTTAAAAATCACATCCTCAAGAATAATTTGGAGGTTCACCTGTATTTTCTAAGCTGTTTATTTTTCCTCACCTCCAGAGGGAACGGATGGCATTTTGGAACTCATCAGGTGGATATCCATGATGGAAAGGCTCAGAAAATGATTTTTCTTCATTGATCTAGAATGAGAAAATAGGGGAAATAATAATCTGTCACACAACAAAGGCTGGTACTGGGTATGTAGCTCAGGGTAAAGCATGCTTAAAAAGAGAGAAGTAATCTCTGAACAAAAGGTTCAGAAAACAATTAGGTCTGTTTGAATCACTTAAATATTTTAAAAAGTTTTGTTGATTCCCAATTATTCAGATGATAGGAGCATACTTTTATGAAAAACATACAGCGTAGATATTGGATTAAAGTTGTGGTTTAGCAGAAAGCACCTTTTGAACCTCTTTCCCATCTCTCCTAAATGTCCTCATAATTTTCTCCCACAGCT